TCCAGCCACCCCTGCTACCACCCAGGATGAGTACACCATCCTGCCCCACTCCTTCATCAGCGGCATCCACGGCCACATCCTGGTGTACTCGGTGACCTCCCTGCGGAGGTGAGGGACCCCCGGGGCTGGGTCCCCTGGGAGGGGGGGACCCCCAAGCTGGAGGGAAGTGCCTGGAGGTCCCCTTGCCCCCACGGCTTGCAGGTGGTGAAGACCCTCCACGACAAGATGTACGAGAGCCGGGGGAAGACTCGGTAGGTGCTGTCCCTCGTGGGGAGGGGGGGTCAGGGGGGCAGGGCCCTCACCCTCCCCATGCCCACAGCATGCCCGTGGTGCTGGTGGGGAACAAGGCAGACCTGGCTCTGCAGAGGTGAGGGGGGCTCTGGGGGTCCCATGTCCCCCCAGTGGCCCATCCTGCCCGTCCTCTGCTGTGTCTCCAGCCGGGAAGTGAGGACAGAGGAAGGGAAGAAGTTGGCGGAGTCGTGGGGGGCCTTTTTCCTCGAGTCCTCGGCCAAGGAGAGCCAGGTGGGGCGGATGGACACCCCCCCAGGGTGGGAGCGGTGTCCTGACGGGGCTGGGGCTGATGTTCCCTCGTCCCCAGGTGACCCAGGGGATCTTCATGAAGATCATCGAGGAGATCGACCGGGTGGACAATTCCTACGGCAGATCCACCGGCTGCTGCCTGATGTGACACCCCCAGGATGGGGCAGGACCCCCTGGATGGGGCAGGACCCCCCCAGGACCTTCACCCAGACCTTGGCGGTGGCTTCGGGGGGGCCCACACGGTCCCACTGAGATTTGGGACCCCTCACTTTGCACGGGCTGTGGAGCTCACGGGGGGCTGGGAGCGGGGTGGGGGTCCTGTCCCAGCCAGGAGCCCCCCGGCCCGTCGCTGCTGTCCCCCCCCCCACACAAGGACACGTCGGGGCTGCTCCTGCCCTGGGAGCCAGGGCTGAATGCGGGTGTTGTTCCCGGCTGTGCCGGACCCGTGGGAGTCAGGGCTGGAACAATTAAACGTTGTTTTGTCTGTGAACCCCTGGACTGGGGGGGCTGTTCCAGGCCAGGGGGGGATGAGGCAGCACGTGGGGCTCCCCCCAACACCCCAGCGTTGGGGTGCCTTCCAACCCTCAGCTGTGGGGCTGAGCCCCCCACCATGGGCCTGAGCACCCCAGAGCCATCACCGGGGCCCTGGGGGGGCTCTGCAGCCCCCATTCCCCCCATTTCTCTCCCCCGAGATCTGCAGCTTGGGCTGGGTGAGTCGGGGGGGCCTGGCTGCGGTTCCCCGTGTGGTTTATCTCCACCTAGTCGGGCTAATTACTGCTAATTACCCAGTTATGGTGGTAGAGAGGAGCAGGAGGTGGTGGGGAGGGAAGTGGGGTGCAGGGGGGTGCTCTCTGCCCCCACAGTCAGTGTTGGGGTGTTGGGGCTGGGGTGATGCAGCCTGGGGGCTAGTGGGGGGCTGCACCCCCTGAGTAGCCCCCCCAGATCTCTGGGCCTGGGGGTTTGGGCTCCTGGGGGGTCCCAGGGTGAGGGTCTCTCCTGTGACCGAGGGGGCTGATGTGCCCTTGCATGGGGGGCACTGGCCCGTGTCCTGCCCAGGGTTTGGGGTCCACGGGGTCGAGAGGGGTGCGTGTGGGTCTCCTGGTGTGCGTGACCGTGACTGCCCTGGTACCGGGTGGGACCGTGGGCACCGGGGG